AATTTAATTATAAGTTTCCATACTAATTCATTCTAAGATTTGATGTTCGTATTATACGCCACGCTACTTGAATTATTGTATTACTCGCTGTACAAAACATATACGAGTATTTCGTCGCTCTTACTCGTGACATTGTAGCTCGTTCGCTGGCCATAGATACGGTACAGGTGCACGCGTGCGCGGTGACTAAAGAGGCGGCTGACTAAAGAGGCGGCTGACTAAAGAGGCGGTCACATGGAAACGCCTACGAGAAAAGATGGAATGCACAAAGCTAATGCGATTGTACGCACTCGCAAATAAGTTTTTACGCAACAAATACGTATTCTGTACTCAAACCGTACACCGTATTGTCTATTCAACAGCAAAGTCCATCGAGTGTGTAACATATTGTATTCAAAGCATACGCTGTATTATCTGCTTTACAGAAACATGTATCAAGTATTAAACATTTCGTATCAAAATTCATCGAGTATTTAACATTTGTATTATAATCATACACTGTATTATCTGCTTTACAGAAAAATTTATCAAGTATTAAACATTTCTTCTCTAAATCATACTGTATTCACTGCTTTGCATCAAAATCCATCAAGTATATAACATTTAATTTCTAATCATACACTGAATTATCTGCTTTACAGAAACATGTATAGAGTATAAAACAATTTGTATCAAAATCATACTGTATTCTCTATCTAGTATTTAACATTTATATTCTAATCATACACTGAATTATCTGCTTTACAGAAACATGTATCGAGTATGTAACATTTCTTCTCTAAATCATACTGTATTCTCTGCTTTACACAAAAATCCATCTAGTATTTAACATTTATATTCTAATCATACACTGTATTCTCTGCTGTACAGAAAAGCATACTTGGCATTTCATTCGGTTGCTCGCTCCTTAACAGTCTATTCTTATATTTAACGATAATCTTGAATATCTCTCCATCTATATTTCTTTGCCAGTAAAAAGCTATACATTTCTTTCGTTTCATATCTCATTTATCCAAGTACACGAGCTTTTCTATCCTATATATACAATGTTGCTACGATACTAGACGGAAAAAACAATATAGTTGTCGCAAACAGAATTCTGGTTGTGTCAACCAGATTAAATAGTAAAATATGGAACAACTAATTATCTGGTTGTTATAACCACAGAGCAATTGTTAAACGACATTGTTGCAGCAGTGACGATACCTGGTTGCCTTAACCTTTGCAATACGTATCCTGATTAACGCAACAATGTGGATAGATAATCATATCCACAGCAAATAATGCTCCAACCAGACTTTGGTAAGTAACAAAGTCATATCAATCATACACATAATCATTGCATAAAGATAACTAAGATAATGCAGCTATATTGCTTACAACTAAATATTTCTGGTTATGTGCACCATATCATTTTTTTCCGTGTATGTTTATGAGAATTTTTATTTAACGTCATAGGTTAGGACAAACATGGTATCGTTAATTTGATCCGATAATGCGATCGACTGATCAATATTTATTCGTTACAAATTATACCAATTAATAACGTTTCCAATATTTCAGACCAATATTTCTACCAAGAGGGATCAGGAGAGTGCAGGAGTACGGACCAAGGAGAGAGAGAGAGAGAGAGAGCTGCCGAATAACGGACACGTATGAGGTATGTTTTAATTTTTATTATGCCATACATGTGTAATTTACTGCCTTCTTCTCACTGTCGGATCCACTGGACCAAAATTTAAGTTCAGCATCGTCTTGCAGTAGATGCTGTAACTATAGGCACGGCTACGTCGCATTTCGCCCAATTCCTGCAAAGGCACGCAACGATTAAACAACTCGTCGATCGAGTCAGCGGATATCGTTATCTATAACAATTTCAACATTTACCTCGTGGTTGTAATAACGGAATCTATCCGTTATCTGTCTTCGCCTGTCCGGCGTGTACGCAGTTTTAAGCGTAAACTCTAACACCTCGTGAAGGAATGCTTCCGACACGTGTTTCAGAATAGCGAAATTCACCACGACCATTCTGTTGTGGTCCACAAAGTTGCGGTCCCAGAACATAGTTCGTATGAATTGGGGCCACGTCTTGGCGTCGCCAACCACGTCCTGGATCGACAGCGGGTTTTTATTTATTTGATCGATGCTGTAGCACGCCATTTCAATCTGAAATAGATGACAACTTGTTGAATCGTCGACACGTCAACGACCGTATCTGGCAATTGTAACAATACTATTTATCGCGACCAATATTATCTCTCTTACCTGTACGTCTCTCGAACAATTGGATCGCTGCCACCTGACTCTGTGTCGTACTTAGAACTGCGTACACACGGAGCGTGCGCACGTCGCCACCTATGGTCGCGCTCGGTACGATTGGTTAATACTCGTAGATCCAGCCAATCGTGTTTCAAGAAATCGTTGACCGCAGTTGAGCCCGCTGAACGTGGCCAAAGTTTCAATCGCGGAACAAAATACTCGAAAATAATAGCGAATCGATCGCCTGCACTAGTGCGCACACCAAGGCCACACTCGATAGTCAATTTCCATCCGTCTCCATCCTGTCAAGTGTCTTGTCTAAAGAGGTTAGTACGGCTCTGTCATGTGTCAAAATCGCATAAACGACTCGCGAGACGATCCGAAATATAACAACGGATTGCGAATATCGGCCGAGGAGTTGAGCAGATTAACACGCGATTGTACGAAAAGGCGCAAATATTTCTCGTCGCAGTATTTCGAGTAGCTACGTACGTCTTGTTATTCTCATAATAATTGAATTTCATTCTCCTTGTAATGTTTATTAAGCGATAGATGTATTAATTGTTTTACCGATATATTTTAGAGGAGCTGTAGACTATTACCGTCTATTTCTTTCTCTCAACTATATCACAGATACATCGATACGTCTATTGCCCGATATACATGCCAAGAAGAAATCAATTTCATTATTAGGAGAATAACAAAAAGTACATACATGGCTACATTTCTTATGCTTTCTTCTCAATATGCACGTCGAGAAGACACGTTTAATTTGTCTCGGAGTCGTCTTTTAGATACGTGTGTCTGAAAGACGACTCAAAGATGTCTCATAGACACGCGTGCTGTATGGCTTTGCGGCACGTATACATGTAAATCTATTGTAACCAGTATACCATTTTTATGTTGCAGTTAAGAATTATCATGTCGAGGCCGCTCAAATTTAACGAGAGGGACCTAGAGGAGCCGAAAGAACTAGAGTGTACGTGAGTATGTTTGTACGCAAAAGTACCATCGTCGCTTCGAATAATGTACATCTGCCTTTTATTTCAGAGACGCAGGATTACTAACTAATTCGTACGACGTCGCCGAGTCCAACGACGACACTGCGTCGACGGTGGACGTCGACACGTTAAGTAACTTGGGCGACCTGGACAACTTGGGCGACCTGGACAACTTGGGCGACGTGGACAACTTGGGCGACGTGGACGACTTGGGCGACGTGGACGACTTGGGCGACGTGGACGACTTGGGCGACGTGGACGACTTGGGCGACGTGGACGACTTGGGCGACGTGGACGACTTGGGCGACGTGGACGACTTGGGCGACGTAGACGACGACGACGACGACGACGATGACCAGGAAGATGTTGAGGTCAAACGTGCAAGGTAAACATTTATTTGTTAATTATTTTCTTTTTCTTTTCGTGCAACCAATGTAAAATAATTTTCTTTTTTCAGAAAGGAGTGAAGACTTGCAACGTCCTGACTAATGGTTCAATTAATGGTTCAATAAATTAATAAATATATATATATTCCGACACGAGTCTTTGTTTATTGAATTATTCACGTTGTCTTCCTTCCATCCATCCATCTTGACTTCCTACCCTTCCTCCCTGCCGACGTGGCTGTCACCTTGACGCGGTGGCGGGGCTTAAACGCAAGACTCTTGGCGGAGAGTCTTGCGTGAACCAAGAACAGCCACTCTTGTTACCCAGATAGCATTTTGACATCCAATGTATATACATTGCATATACATCAGTGTATGACATATCCGATGAACATACATCAACGACATACATTGGATATCGTAGGTATGTGCAAATGCAACGCGCTGTACATGCAGTGTATATACATTGGATGTCACAATGCTTTCTGGGTTCCAGCTTACAAACGAACAGATGGACCAGTTTGATGAACTCGTAATAAAAATTATTACTATTAACAAAAGCTATATATTATATTTAAAAATATATTTTTTATCATTATTTATTTCTTCATTAAATAATTCAATAGCCGGAAAATTACATGTAGGGATAATAAATAGCTATGGCTATAGCTATAGTTTTACTAGATATGAAATGACATTTTTTTTATAATGGAATGGATTGGACACCCACAATTCCCTAATAGAAAAACACTATAGTAACAGCAGTATCATCGTGCATATCTACCTGCATTAGTTGAACATTCATAGAATGTACAAGAGGTATATTTTATGTATATTCCTCCTATCATGTAGAATGAATATACATACCACATATATCCGTACGATATTCTACGAATATTCATAAATATATATGCATCCTATAAGAGGTACATTCTATGTATATTCTCAACATCATCTCGAATGAATATACACACCACATACATCCATACGATATTCCCTTAATATTTTATAAATGTATATATATTTCTGAATATTCTATGTATGTACATGATAGATACAGGATATTTGTTTCACATTACGGACACTCCATGTATATACATAGAATATCCACTGTTTACTGGGTTCTAATCATACACTGTATTATCTGCTTTACAGAAAAATTTATCTACAAGTATACAAATCATACACTGTATTCTCTGCTTTAAACCAAAATCCTTCTAGTATTCAACATTAATGATACGACGCGAACTAGAGAGAGACAGACGCACTTTGCGAGGATAGATGATACGCGAACTAGAGAGAGACAAATACACTTTGCGAGGATATACGCTACGCGAATTAGAGAGACAGACACACTTGGCGTGGATAGACAGTACGCGAACTAGAGAGAGACAGACGCACTTCGCGCGGATATACGTGAAAACTTCCTATAACGACTGCGGCTCGGGCGCGGGGCCTCGACCCGTCGTCGCCGTCGTCGGAATCGACGTACTCTGGAGCGCGACGTTCGCTCCCAGCCACCGGCC